AAAAAAAAAAAAAAAAAAAAAAGATCTTTCTGGTTTTATATAATTCTAAATAACATCAATGAACATCTTTATAATTTTTTTCATACTTAGGATTATTTTTAAAATATTGGTTAAATAATATGAGTATCACAATAAACTGCAACAGATTGTCATAGGCCTTGGTTTGGTCCCCCATAAGCAGACCCTGAGATGGGGTTCAGGAGCACGTTGAGAGGTTCAGAGAACCTGGAGGGCGTGCACTCCCCACCAGCCCCGCGGGGGTGCCAGGAAGGATGCTGGTCTCAGAGCCTCCCACCTGGGAGCGAGGGCCCTGGTCTTGTGGGCATCAGCTCAGGGAGCTGTTGGTTTTGGGCTGCTCTAGGGTGGGATAGGGCTAAGTCCTAGCACTTCAGACTTTAGAGAAAGCCCCCAGGCAGAGAGAGATGGCAGCTGGCACTGACTGGAGGTGCATTGGAGCCTGCTGAGGTGGCAAGGGGCTGCAGCATGGGTGATACTGAAGTCCTTCCAGGAGACCCTTCTCTCTAGACCATTGCTCCGCCACAGATGCGGTGCCCCTCTCTGTTTGGCTCTTTCTTTTCTATGCCCGTCTGTCTCAAGGTCTCTGGCCAGGTGGAGCTGTTGCCCCCCTGGGCCTCCCTGCCTCCAGTGGGCTTCTAGCCAAGGCACTATGTGAATGTCCCACCTCCAGCAGGCTTTGCCAAGAGAAACACTCTAGGTTCTTGGCAGTTGCAGATGCATCTGTGCGTTATGTTTGAGAACTGGTGCTGTGCCAGGCGTCGTGCACTGATGGGTACGGGCGATGACTGAGGCCTAGAGAAGGGGATGACTTACCCAGCACCGGACCCGAATGGCAGCCAAGTCAGGTCCCGTGTGCTTGCTCCTGGAGATGCTCCTGAGCTGACGGGCCACAGCTGCTAAGAAAGGAGCTCCCGTGGTCCATGGGGATCTGGGGTCTCCCATGTAGCCGTAGTCAGGTGGGCTGGAGCATCTCCAGAGGAGACAGAGGCCCGTGTGTCCTTGTCAGTTTGGGACTCCATGGTGCCCTTCGTGCCCGTGCCCGAGCCATTCCTCACGCAGGTGCTCGGGAGCTGGGGGAGTTCCATGCTTTCGTTGTCTCGGACCTGCGGGAGCTGCAGGATCAGGCGGGCCAGAGCATCCTGCTGCTGCGGATCCAGAACCCCTGGGGCCGGCGGTGCTGGCAGGGGCTCTGGAGAGAGGGGTGAGTGCTGGGGCCTGGACCATGCTGCTGTCGGGAGGGGGACCCAGTACCAATCTGGCCTGTGTCCTGGTCACCTTCAGCTGTCAGGACCATACTTGGCTATCTCCACCAAGGCCCCTGAGCCCCTGCTCTTGTGACACCATGCTTGTCTTGGCTCCAGACAATCCTTTTGAGGCCTGGGACCCAGGTGGCCCTTGGACCTGGGGTTTCAATAGGGCAGACGTCATCACGGGCTCCGGCAGCAGTCCTGGGAAGACACGTCCAGAGACGTGAAGCTCCTCTGGGAAAAGAGGCTCCCGTGGGTGGCCGCTGCGCGGAAGGCCCTGTGCTGCAGAGCTGCTTCCGGTGTGGGAGGGGCCGCAGAGCTGGGGCGCGGGGGCACTGGCAGGAACTCAGGGCTCTCTGGGTCCCCTCCAGGTGTCCCCCCAGTCTGCCGGCCAGCTGATGCCACCAGTTCTCGGGAGGGGCTTCTGCTGAGATGAGGTTTCTTCCAGGGGTGAAGGGTGGAGCCAGGTGGATGCAGCGGTAACGTCTGAGCTCCTGTCCCAGCTCCAGGAAGGGGAGTTCTGGGTGGAGGAGGAAGAGTTCCTCAGGGAGTTTGACGAGATCACCATCGGCTACCCAATCACGGAGGCCGGCCACCTGCAGAGCCTCTACACAGGTAGTGCCCCGAGGGGCCGTGCTGGGCATGTGCTCTGCCTGCCCAAGTGAGGAGGCTGGGCAGGTGCCCGGGTTCCCCCTGCCCATTCCTGGTTTGCTGCTTTCAAGTGTGGATAGATGATTCTGTCCCAGGAGCCGGGAGGAGAGTGGTCTCGTGGGAGGGGCTGGCTTTGTCTGTGGCCGTAGCTGCTGCTTAGACGCTGCCAGGGTTCATGAGGCCACCACGGCGGGAGGCCAGTGAGGAGCCATGTCCCACAGCTGATGCATGGTGTTTTCTCACTAGAGAAACTGCTCTGCCACACTCGGGCGCTGCCTGGGGCCTGGGTCAAGGGGCAGTCAGCAGGAGGCTGCCGGAACAACAGCGGCTTTCCCAGCAACCCCAAATTCTGGCTGCGGGTCTCAGAACCGAGTGAGGTGTACATTGCCGTCCTGCAGAGATCGAGGCTGCGTGCAGTGGACTGGGCAGGCCGGGCCCGGGCACTGGTGGGTGACAGTCATACTTCGTGGAGCCCAGCGAGCATCCCGGGCAAGCACTACCAGGCTGTGGGCCTGCACCTCTGGAAGGTAACTCAGCCCCGCCTGGCTCACGCTCGGTTGGGCAGGTGGTGTGGAGGCCAATGGAGGTCTTAGTCCTAGGACTGGCTCTGCCGGGACACGTGTGACTCTGCCACCGGCCCCAACAGTCTCCCCCATCCTTGTATTGTCGCACGGGGTTGACATCTGCTGGTGCTCCCAGACCTGGCTCTGACCTGAGACTGCAGGTCTAGGCGTCTTTCTGCCTTGCCGTGTGCCTCATTGGCCAAAGGAAAGCAACAGAGTCTGCAGCCAGGGCAGGACCCGCAGGAGGGGCTTGGGCCTGGGGACTCCTGGCAGCGCTGTGCCTTTCTGAGGCAAGGAGGTAGAGCCAACGGCTGAGGACCTGTCAGGGCCAGTCTCAGCTCTGCAGCTTGCTGTGTGACCTGGCACACATCCTCTCCCTGCCTCCCTGTCTCTCCCCGTGCAAGACAGGGTCCTGACGTGGATCTCATGGGGTTGCTCTGAGGCCCAGGCAGTCCCAGGCCCAACCACTGGTTCACAAAATATGCTGTTTCCTGGAAGAACAGATGGGGGCGCCCGGAAGCAAAGGGCCTGAGTGTGGGTCGAGAATATGCCAGCTGCTTGCTTAGGGGCTGGATTGTCATCTTGTGTGTCTTGACAGGGTGTGACACTTGGCACTACACTGTTCCCTGTTCCTTCATGGATGTGGCCCACATGGTGTTCCTTTCCTCTTGCAAAAGAAGTTGCTGGAAGGCCCACTGTCCAGCAGCCCCAGGTTGCCTGGGCCACGGTGCCTCTGTGGGCCCAGCTACAAGGGAGGACTTGCAGGCTTGTGTCTGGGACAGATACTGGCCCCAGGGCCAAGTGAAGCCCGGGATTGGTGGGCATCTCTAGCTGGCCCCTGAGAGAGGGTGGAGGGTGCTGACAGGCCTTGCGCTTTCGTCTGTTAACTCCGGAGGCCGTTGTGCTTGGAGCAGGGAGGCCAAGGCCAGGGCACCTGACGCCGGCCTCTCCTCTGCACTGAGCCTCCTGCCTGTGCTCACAGGTGGAGAAGCGGCGGGTCAATCTGCCCAGGGTCCTTTCCATGCCCCCCGTGGCTGGCACTGCGTGCCACGCATATGACCGGGAGGTCCACCTGCGTTGCGAGCTCTCACCGGGCTACTACCTGGCTGTCCCCAGCACCTTCCTGAAGGACGCGCCAGGGGAGTTCCTGCTCCGAGTCTTCTCTACCGGGCGAGTCTCCCTTAGGTGAGAGGAACTGTGCAGTGCTGCTGGCTTTCCGAGCCACAGCCTCTGGAGGACCACAGGCCCTTCCGAGGCAGGATTTGGGCACTTCCCCTCTGTGGTTGGCAGGTATCCATGTGGGGACTGAGGCTGCCGGGAACCTGCTGCCAGTGCCCTCCCATGGTTGTCTTCTTAGCAGCGCCATCAGGGCAGTGGCCAAGAATGCCAGCCCCGGAGCAGCCCTGCCTGCGGGGGAGTGGGGGACCGTGCAGCTGCGGGGCTCCTGGAGAGCCGGCCAGACGGCAGGGGGCAGCAGGAACTTTGCCTCGTACCCCACCAACCCCTGCTTCCCCTTCTCGGTCCCCGAGGGCCCTGGCCCCCGCTGCGTCCGCATCACTCTGCATCAGCACTGCCGGCCCAGTGACACCGAGTTCCACCCCATCGGCTTCCATATCTTCCAGGCAAGCTCCTTGCCCCAGGGAGGGAGGGAGAGTAGAAGGGGCCCACAGAGAATTTGCATCTTGGCCTCCACTGTCTCAACAGAGGGCTCTGGGCTCGGTCACTTGGGCACACAGGCCCGGCTCCCCCTGCCCTTTGAGGCGCTTCCTGGAACCCGCACGGGCCCTCTCCTGTCTCCATCCTCACAGAGGCGAGGCTGAAGATGGCCTCTGGAAGGGCCGGGGGCCTGGGAGGTGGGCAGGGCTGACCCAGGCAGGGCAGGTTTCTGGAGGGGGTAGTGAGTGGGGAGGAGGGGAGAAGTTTGGAGGGGACAGGAGGCCGAGGTTGAGACTGGCGGGAGTGGGTCGAGCCCTGGCTTAGGGACGCAGGAGGCCGATGGACTCAGGAGTGAGAGGAGGGGAGGCCCAGGCTGGCTGGCCACAGCAGCCTCTCGGGTGTGAGGAAGTCCACAGTCACTGGGCTCAACCTGTGGCCCCTTATCTACTTACCCTGACTCAGAACAATTGTGTCCCGAGGTTCATTCTCTGCAGACATGTGTCCCCTGGAATGCAGGGACCCTGATGAGGAAGGCACTGCGACCCTCGGTTCACAGTGTGCTGCCTGGGGACCGTCGGAGCCTCGCTGTTTGCCCTGGGCTGCCGGCTCAGGTCCCCTGGAGCTCTAAGGAAAACACATGCCAGGGCCAGTGGGAGCCCTTGGGGCGGGCTGGGCAGCCACAGGTGTTAAAGCCCCTGATGATGCGATGGGCCTCCAGGCCGGGGCCCCACTGCCGGCACCTTCTGGCAAGGGCGGCCAGGCCTTGGTGAGGAGGTGAGTCCAGTGTCCAGGCCTGGCAGCCCCTCCTTGGAGAAGGGGCTGTGTGTAACTCAAGAGGGCATCCAAGCAGATGGCCCTGGGCTGCATCCCCTACCCCAAGGCTGGCTCCCTCAGTCTGAGCCTACGCTTCCCCCAGGTCCCAGAGGGTGGCAGGAGCCAGGATGCGCCCCCACTGCTGCTGCAGGAGCCGCTGCTGAGCTGCGTGCCGCATCGCTATGCCCAGGAGGTGAGCCGGCTCTGCCTCCTGCCTCCAGGCACCTACAGGGTCGTGCCCTCCACCTACCTGCCAGACACAGAGGGGGCCTTCACTGTGACCATCGCAACCAGGATTGACAGGTGGGGCTCTGGGACTTGGGGGTGGCCAGCTGGAGGCTGAGGTCCTGGAGTCTTAGTGCATGCCCGTCCCCTCACGTCTCTCCTGCCCACCCCTCACCCTCAAGCTTCTACCTATCCTGGCGGACCAGGGCTGTCCTGCCTGCCTGGGGACCCTTCCTTGCTGGTGTGAGCCTGGGAGGAGAGTCTGGTGGGAGGTGGGCCAGGAGCATGCAGCCCCTCGTGTGACAAGGTCTGGGAGCGGTGACCTGGTGTCTCTCCACAGGCCATCCATTCACAGCCAGGAGATGCTGGGCCAGTTCCTTCAGGAGGTGTGTATGCAGCTCCGCCAGCTCGGCTCACCTGCCTGGGGCTGCCTGGTGGCCTAGGGTCTACCTGCAACCTCAGGCAGGTGGCTTCTGCCTGGGACGTGAGGTGCCCTTGACTCTTCCTGTGAGAGCCCCGGGCGGTGCTTTGAAGGAAAGGGGGAGCTGAGGCTGCGTCCCATTCCCTGGCTGCACTCGGGGTGGGATGTGAGAAGGGGCGAGTGCCACCACTACCTGGGCCCCCATCTGTCCTTGCAGGTCTCCGTCATGGCAGTGATGAAAACCTAACAGGGTGGCTCCCTATGCCAGCTCAGGTGACTGGAACTGAAGGGCCTGACAGGTTCCCAGCAACTGGGCCGGCCAGCCTTGCACTGTGAGGGCTGGTCCTGAGTCTTGGCCTGCCTCCCAGCCCTGCCAGGGGGCTGCTGCCTAAGGGTCCACGGGAAGCCTCCATCATGAGAGACTCAGCCCTGGGGGCAAGCAGGTGCTGCAGAGGAAGGGCGGGAAGCTTGGCGGCTTCTGTCGCGCCTCTGAGACGGCAGAGACCCCAGGATCGCAGAGCTTCCCAGGATCCCTCCCAGATCCTCCTCTGCTGACTCCACACGGAAGCCTCACACCCACAGGGTAGGGCAGCAGATCTTCTTTATACCTATTTATTGTTTGCATCACTTTTAGGATGTAACTTTATAAATAAACATGAACGCTGAGGATTTGCAGATCCGTCTTGCTCCAAGTAGCTCCAGGCTGTGCCCGCTCTTGCTGAGCAGGCTGTGGGGAGGGCTGGGGGCCTGCCGAGGTGGTGAGGATGAAGATGGCCTTTGGAGGGGCTGGGGGCCTGGCGAGGTGGGCAGAGCCAACCCAGGCAGGGCAGGTTGCAGGATGAGATGGTAAGTGGGGAGGAGGGGAGAAGTTTGGAGAGGCGGGCACAAGGCATGCCCCAGGCCAGGGCGCTGAGGGCTGAGGTTGAGGCTGGCCAGGGCAGGTCAAGCCTTGGCCTTAGAGGACTGATAGACTGGGGAGTGAGGAGTGGGCCTTGGCCTTAGAGGACTGATAGACTGGGGAGTGAGAAGTGGGGAGGGCCGGCGAAGGCACTGCTAAGGCTGTGGTGAAGAAGGACGTCTCGGAAATGGGTGTTAGAATGGGAGCTGCTGCAGAGGGAGGCACCCCGGGTTCGTGTGGACAGAGAACCTTGGATCTGGACGGCTCCTCTGCCTTCAGCCGGAGTTCACCTGCGCAGTGTCCTAGGATTACTTATTTCTCCAGGCCTCTCTCCTTCATCCCTCATACCAAATGCTGCAATGAGAGCTATAGTGTCACTGAACGGTGCAGAGGTCAGTTCCAGACATGGCTGGGGAGGGCTGTCACTAAGCCCTTTTGTTTTAGAGACAGGGTGTTGCTCTGTTGCTCAGGCTGGAGTGCAGTGGCGTGATCATAGCTCACTGCAGCCTCAACCTCCTGGGCTCAGCGATCCTCCCTCTTCAGCCTCCCAGCTGGCTAGGAAAGCAGGTGCGCTGCCAAGCCTGGTTAGCTTTTGAATTCTTGAATCCTCCTTCAGCCTCCCAGGTGGCTAGGGAAGCAGGCGCGGTGCCAAGCCTGGTTAGCTTTTGAATTCTTGAATACTTACGGGTCTTGATATATGGCTGCCTAGGCTGGCCTGAGCGATCCTCCTGCCTTGGCCTCCCAAAGCACTAAGATTGCAGCAATGAGCCACCAGCCCCACCACTGATCCCTTTTAAATTCCATTCGCTTCCTGAGTCCCTTTGTGCCTGGGGAGACCCCGTGTATTGGTCCTTTTTCACATTGCTATAAACAACTCTCTGAGACTGGTAATTTACAAAGAAAAGAGGTTTAATTGCCTCAGTTCCAAAGACTGTACAGGAAGCATGACTGGGGAGGCCTTAGGAAACTTAGAATCATGGCGAAGGGGAAGCAGGCAGTCTGCAGGTGTCTGGAGGAGGAAGAGAGCGAAGGGGAGGTGCTGTGCACTTTTAAACAACCAGATCTCAGGAGAACTCACTGTCACGAAAACAGCAAGGGGGATGTTTGCCCCCATGATCCAGTCATCTCCCACCAGGCCCCTCCAACACTGGGGATTATATATAATTCGACATGACATTTGGGCAGGGACACAACTCCAAACCATAGCACCCAGTGAGCCTGATTTGGGCCTTGCTGCCCGATCACGACCATCTCTGGAGTCCTGGTGTCTGTGTTCCCACTGGGACCTGTGCCGCTGTTCCCCTCTCCATACCCTAGCTATGCCAAGTCACCCTCCCCACTCACCCACAGGAAGCTGCCCTGGCCCTGGCCCTGGCCCCTTAGCCCCTCTGCTTGCTGGTTCAGTGGCCCACAGCAGCAGTGGCTGTGGCAGCTGGGTTCTCAGCATCTTCAGACATGGATTCCTGAGCAGCAGCATTGGGCTCTGTCTCCCTGTGTGCAGGGCCTGCCACAGATCTCCCTTATCCACTGGCTTATGTGCTGACTTCGGGTGAAGCCAGTGGTGCTGCCTATTAGGGTGCAGGAACTTGGGGCAAACAGTGAGGGGCTAGTCACCAAAGAAATACCCTGCAGGACAGTGCCCAAGCCAGAGGCTCGAGCTGGGTCAGAGCTGCCCTAGATCCCTGGGTTTGTGGGCAGGCAGGTCCTGTGCAGGGTGCCCGATGGTGCAGGTTGAGGTGGGACAGGTGGGGTCGAGGTATTTCTCAGGGACAGTGCCTGTGAAGGGAAGACAGTTGCAGGGGGTGTGTCCATGTCAGGATAGACTGTGGTGGGGACCCCGGGAAGAGTTCTGGAGCAAACCCCACCTGGGCCGGCCAGGCCCTTATGGTGAGCATCCCTGCCCCCCAGGCCCTCAGGAGCCACTATCCCTGAGGCAGGCCCTGACGGTGGCGGCCACACCCTCCAGCTGAGCAGCTCTTCCCAAAGTCCACAGCCAGGACCTGCTTCCCGCATCCGGGCCATCGCCTGAGAGGAGGCCTGGAAAGCACAGCGTTCCGTGACTCTGGGGCCGTGGTTGGTGCCCGTCATCTCTCCGCTGCGGGCTGGCTCCGCTCGACCTGGCTGCCTTGGCCGTCTGGTCTACCAGCTGGAACCATGTTCCTGGGTGTGGAAAAGGCTCCCTCTGGAGCCTGCAGAGACCCCTGAGGCCCTGTGCTTCCTTCTGATGGGAGGTGCCAGGTGCGATTGGAGGGAATGCCTGGCAGGCCTCTAACCCCCAGCCAGCCTGAACATTTCCGGTGCAGCAGGCCCCGGCCTGGCGTTGTTCGTCCCTGGTTGCCTCGTGCTTTGACTCCATCAGCATCCTGTCGTCAAGGTCGTGGATCAGTGCGGTGCTTTCAGGGCGTCCAGCCAGCTGGCCTGTCTGTCGTATATTATGGCAAAGGCCCCAGGAAAAATGGCAAATGCCTTTGTCCATTCCATACAAATTCCATAGGAATGTGAGCAGTTTCTGATCTTCCATGGCATATTCGTCCAGTTGATGGCCAACCCTGGGTACTTGGGCCTCCAGGGCCTGTTGCACTGGGCCGCCCCTCAGCCGTGTGTGCACTTGCCACGTGGCCCTCCAGGAATCCCACCCCACAGGGCCACACTGAACCAAATGGAGAGACAGCAGGGCCACCACCCTCTCTCCACATGCCATGGCTGCTCTGGGACCCGGGCAGGAGGGGGCAGTCTTGGTCTTCTAGTGTCCCTCTTGGCCTTCCCACGGCCATCTCTACCCCAAAGATGCAACAAAGATGTCGGTCACTCCCCAGGTGTCAATCTGTCACAGGCTCAGAGACCAGGACGTGGCCCCGGGTGGGTCTGTAGGCCCTGTGGGCTCATGTGAGCTGGTCCAGGGCAGGACTCCATTATTAACTGCCTGTCATGTGTCCCACTGTGATGGAGCCCTGGTGACCCTTGGGGACCAGCGTCAGCTTGGCCTGTGTGCTCAGTGGCTCCCAGATGTCTGGACGTTCTCTCCCCGCTGCACATGGTCCCTGGGGCAGTCCCTGTCATGCACACTTGCCGATGGGGGAGTGTCCTTCATCTTGCAGGCCTGGCCACCTCTTCAGTCAACAGATACCTGGGCCGAAAACCAACTCGGGCAGTGTGGGCCCAACTGGGGCTCCTCAGTGGAGTGACCACCCTCGGTCCTCCTGGATCCCTCTGCTGGCTCCACCTGAGCGCTGCCCTTGCTGGCGGCCCCTGCCTTGCTCTGTTGCCATCCTATAAGCCCTGCAGTCAGGCCCCTTGGCGCCCTTCCACTGTGTTCATGATTGTCTCCTGGCCTCTGCTGTGTAGAGGTCTGATGCCCTCCGCCCCTGGCGAGCCAAACCCTGTGATGGTGGTTCCTGCCACCAGCTTCCTGTGGCACCGCTACCACTCCCACCAGCCTCCTGCGGCACAACTGCCACTCCCCGTTAACCAGCATGGCACAAGTGAGCGGCGTGACCTTGGTTTTCCCAGGGAACCAGTGCTTGGCAGCTCCCACCACACACACGTCTACGCCCACCCTCCGCCAGCCACAGCGGTTGTGACGTCTCCACCCTGCCCAGCAAAAGTGGAAGTGTGGCTTGTGCTGCTGGGAATCTCCGGGTTTGTCCCACCTCCAGGGGCCTTGCCAGGGTGTCAAACCCTGTGTCTCTGGACACTGTCATTAGGTCTCAGCTTCCCCATCAGGCACCTCAGCACCCAGTCCTGCCAGTGCTCCTGCCTCCTGTCCCCAGCTGGCCGGGCCTGCAGTCCCCTCCTGTGCCCCAAACTGGCCGGGCCTGCAGCCCACTCTCTGGTCACTGGATGTTGCTGACACGTCGCTCGATCAGAGCCCTAGCACCCAAGGGGGCCAGGGCCTGATGGGGGAGGAGCAAGGGGTGGGCCACATCCCTCTGCAGGCTCAGAAGCTTCCTGAGAGGCTAGAGAGTGAAACCTTCCGGCGCCACGCACGGCCTCCTCCCTGTCCAGGGTCCTGGGTTCTCCAGATGGGGTCTTGGCCTTGGCTAGCTGTTGGTCAGGAACTGGGGGTGCTGCGCCCCCGCCCAGCTTCTCTGAACTCCAGCTGGGCACCTCAGTGAGGCTTCAGCCACCTGTGCCTTATTTGCTTCCTCCTTGGAGTCCCCTTGTGTCTGTGCATTCATCAAACACAGCAGCTGGGCCCCCCAGCACACCCCCTTCCTCAACTTTCCCACTGGACACTGGAACCAGATTCACAACTGGACTGGACAGGACGACCACTTTGTGCCAGGTGCCAGCTATCTCCCCTGACCAGTGATGGGTTCTCATTTCCCATGGGCCATGAGTGACCCAGTTCCAAATCCCAAATTAGTGACTCTCCTCTCCAGTGGGGGTTGGATTCTCCAGAAGCGGAGACAGACATAGAATTTGGGTGCAAGGTATTTCGGAGGGAAGGTGGAGGAGGTGAGGTTGCTGAGGGAGAAGCCTGGAGTGTCGGTAGCCAGGGTGCCCCCACCTGGCTGAAACGCCTGGCCTTTGTGCCCTGCCTGGCTTGGCCTCCCCAGGCAGGCTACCCCATGGCATCCCTGGACAAGGCCGTCCCCAAGAACGCTGCCCACAGCCCAGCCATGGGCCTTCCCTTGGGGCTCCCGCCCCGGCTCACACCTGCCAGCCAGCGAATTTACTCATTGCTGGCTGCACCCTCTCAGCAGTGGCCGTGTGCACCATAACCCTGGGAACACCTGCAGGGAGACACACCCTTGGCCTGGCAGCCTGGGGGAGACTCC